GGAAGGAGGTACACAAGTAGGCTTCAAGGAACTTAATTAGCAGTTTCATTTTGACCATATAAACTTTTACTTATCTTTTTCTTTTTTTTTTTTCTTTTCTTTTTAAGATGGGGTCTCCCTGTAGCCCCAGCTAGCTGGCCTAGAACTCACTATGTAGATCAGGCTGGCCTTGAACTCAGATTTGCCTGCCTTGCCTCCCAAGTGCTGGGATTAAAGGCATGTACTACCATGCCTAGCTTCACTTATCTCTTTCTATAAACCCTAATGTGGACCAATTAAAACAACAATGAGAGATGACAAATAAGTCACACATACGAACCTCTTTAAAAGAAAATTCCCTTGTTGGCAGATTTATGCCTGCCTATATATCCAAACATCCCAACATCCTGGATTTTTACCCCCTCTCCAATTAAACAAGTTTATCACTAACCTCCAAGCCTAAATTAGTAGAACATAAAGAAATTAAGAAAATTAAGAGGCCAGCAAGATGACCTGGTTCAATCCCCAGAAACCACATGGTAGGAGAGAAGCAACTTCCAAGCTACCTTCTAGCCTCTGTACCTGTGTGCGCATAGGTACACAAATGTAAGAAAAAAAAAAAAAATTAAGTACCTCAGAGACAAAGGATGAAATTAAGGATTAAAATGAAAGAACGCAATAGAGAACACAGAGAACACTTTTCAAAGGCAAGTCTTTATTCATTTTGCTTTTTGTTTTTTAGAAAGGATCTCATGTACCATGTAGCCTAGCTCACTACGTAGCTGATGGCCTTAAAGCCCTAATCACATCTACCCTCTTGCCTCCCTACTGCTGGGATTACTGCACACTACCACATGCAGCTTTGATCTTTAAAAAGGTACAGGGCCAGAGAGAGGCTCAGCAGGTAAAGGCAAATGCTGCCAAGCCTGAGGATCTGAGTTCAAGCCCCAGGACTAAGAGCCAACTCCACTGACCTCCACATGCATGCTGTGGCATGCACATATACACAATAAATAATCTGTAAATACATACTTTTTTTTTTAAGGTTTAGAGTACATGTTTAAAGTTGCATCCTAAACCACACACCTGTATTCCCTGCAGGGCAGGGATGAGAACAGTAGCTTCGACACTGCTCAAATTTCATTCCAGAATTTTATTGATTAGCTCTCTGAATCACAACTAGGTGGCTGTGCTCCTGGCTCTTGGTGTGCTCAATTTACTAATAAATGGAATTTAGATTACTACCCACTCAAAGACTACAACAAATGAAGTATGACTTTGCTATGTTTAAGGCAGATATGTGTGACCTAGAGCTTTAGGAATGATCAAACCCCTACCAAATTTTTCTCCTGAGCAGTATGGGCCTAAATTTGTTTTGAGGAAAACATGGAGGCACATGCCTGGGGCAAGAGGATCTTTGGAGAAAGGGAGAAATGTTCTACCATTATGATTGTTGTATAAATCTGAAAATACTAAAAACACGTAACTGAACATTTAAAATTACTGCATGGTATATGAATTATATAAGCCTCTTCTCCAAATGTTAAAGGTTTAAAGTGGCTCAAAGAGTAAATAAGCACAACTTCAGGAAGATTTGCGACACTAAAGGTATTAGGAAGACAACGCAGAAGGATAAGGCCAAAGTCAAATCCAAAATTAAAAAGAGTTAACAGGTTGGAATAGACATAAATGAGCTTCCACTATCATTAGCACTTCTACTTTACCAAAATAAAAAAAATTTTTTTAAAAAAAAGGAATATTATAAGTTCCTCCTTGTACCCGAAGAGTGGAACTAGTAAGTTCAAAGATGTTGATTGCATTAAAACAAAACAATTTTATGCTTCACGGCTATAAAGATGAAGATGAAAGGCTTAACAAACGACCACAGGAAGTTAAAAGAGAAAAGTATCTATTGTGCCATCTGGGGTTTTATTTAAATCTCTCACTTTTGAACACTTCCAAAGGAGAAATCTGTGGAATCTGCCTATCTGCAACCATAATATTAGCTATCTGAAAGCAAGAAAGTTATTAAAGCCATCAAATAAACCCATTTCTATCAAATTTGAGAGACTCAAAAGGATGTTTATTAAGCCAACTTTTTTCTTTTGGTCTAAGAGTAACACCCCTAAAATTATTCATCTAAATACCACAAAGTGTTATGGAAAATGTAGTTTATCCTTAAACATCTACATATTCAATCTTGCATTTTAAAGGAAATAAAAACCAGAAGCAAAATTAATTGTAAGTTTTAAAAGGCCTCAGCTCAGAAAATAAGCTTAACTATCCCATATACTTATTTGCAATAAGGGCTTATTACTGTCTTTATTTAAACTTGGGATCTGCATATAATCTTGACTCATCACTTTTATAACATTTATCTTATATATATTTTCACAAATTTGTCACGCATTCATATACAAAGTAATGTAAATACTGTTTTCACATGTCAAGCAGCTTAAGACTCTCACTAAGAAAGCAGGTATTAACCAAAGCTATATAAGTACCATTAATTAAAAACACAAAGAACAAAAGGAAACAGAAATGCCTTATGATTCTCCCCCTTACATATGAACAAGTAAAAAAACTACAAGTTCCAAATCCCTTTAATATAGTGTTCCAAAAACTCAGTAACAAAAATCATCCAGAAATGCAGGTCATTATATAGCTACACCAGGGAAAATATTTCATACTTCTTAAAGGGTTTTATTTTGCTGCTATCTTTCAACTATATGAAACCACTTGTTCACAGCTTTCCTGAAACAGTTTCTAAACAAAGACTGTTTACATCTCTTGAGAAGCCTTTGTTCCAAGACCCCTCTTTTCAAGAGCTACAACTTCTGGGTATTCTTTTCTGTGGTTATATCAACAGCAAATCCTAGCAAACTCATTTTGGCATAGGAGTTTGTTAAACAAAGGAGGAAGCAAGACCCCTTCACACAAAGGAGGTCTCCAAAACAGAGTACTGGTTATGTTTGTAGATCATTTGTTTCTCTTTACCCCTTTCCTCTCAGGCTGTAGTATATAGTATTCTCGATACAAAATGGTGGCCATCATGTCTGTCTGACATTCAGAATGGGAAAAGGCAAAACACACATACATTTTATTATAAAGATTGCCATTAATCTGCTAGCCCAGATGAAGAAATAGGTAGCCTAACCAAACCAGAGCAACAGTATCTTTTGGAGAAAACAGCTCTATAAAAGGCAAAATAGGCAAGATAAAGAATTTACCCCAGCCCTAGAATGCCACAATGCCAACATGGAGGACAACTCACAGGAACCTAACTCCTTTTACATTTTGGTTACTAATAACTTACACAAGTTTCCTAATTTCGGCATAAAATTCCATGAATATAAATGTTCAATATTTACATTCATCCTTCCTAGGATGTAACATAAAGCTAAACTGCTCAATGTTAGAAACCTGGTCTATTCTTCAAGAATTACAATGTTAGGTCTAACCAGCCCAGGTATAACTTCTGCAGGCCTCCACAGCAGACATGTACCTTCACTTAATCATCAACCAATCCTGTCCACTTCAATGGGAGAAATGAATCTATTTTCAATCATTTCCCCATATTAGCTGGCCTGGCCAGTTACTTTCTGAGGCAATATTTCATTTCTGTTTTCTCAAAGTTGACAACGAAAAACTAAAGTACGTGTCTGTGCTTTATTTTTTGGGGGGGAGGGGGGTATTGAGACTCATTCATGGATCACTCTCAAAACAGCTTTTCCAAAACAATCCCTGCAGCGCAAAATGCCATTACAAAGAGCAAGTTTAAGGAGAAAAGGGTGGGGGCGGTGTCTTCTTCCACCTCTGTTGGGAGCAGGGGTGAGGGGAGAAGATTCTTAACCAGTAGGAAGGGCAGTTAAACCTCACTCCAACGGTCCCGGCTGCCCTCAACGGTCGTTCAGGCCAACTCAGAAGCTGACCACCCGGAAAGGTGGGCAAAAGACCCGGGGGTCGCTGCACTTCGAGTTCCGGCGGGGATGGGCCTGAGACTCAGTGGGCCGGGCTCTCCGCGGCCGTTGCAGCCGTTAGGGCAGGCTTCGAGGACACCCCACCTCTCGGCCCCCAGGCCTGAGGCGCTCGAGCCACCGTTGGAGAACCGAGTAGGGGAGCCGGGGCCGCCGGGGAAACATCCAAGGTCTCCTCTGACATCTCCCTGTCCAAGCACGGCCTCCCCTCCACCTCCAGCCAGGCTCGTTTCCCCGAGAGCCGCGCGGTGCGCCCCCAAGTCCATACTGCAGCGTCGGCAAGCGCGGGAGCACTTCGCGACCCCGCCGCCCGTCCCGTCCCCACAGCCCCCAAAGTGTCCCCCAGCCACTGGCGCCCCCCACCACACAGCCGCTCCAGGCCGGACCCACGGTTCCTCCCCACCCCCGGCAGCGCTGGCCGCCCCCAGCTCAAGCCGGGCCCGGGGAACACCTGGAAGCCGCGGTACCAGGAGGTGGGGGGACCCCGGTCCGGAGGGTGGGGCCCTCAGGTGAGGGCCGCTCCGGGCCGACACCGCCACCACACAAAGGACCAGGGGCTCCCGCCGCCATATTGAAAACTTTCCTCCTCACACGACAACTCGCAAGTCCCCCACCCCCACCCATCACACACCCCCGCACCCCGAGAGGAGGCGAGGACCAGCCAGCCGAGCCCGCCCAGCCCAGGCACCTCCGCGCCCGCGCCTCGTCGGGCTCGGCAGGGCTCCACGCGCCCACCCCGGCGGCTGCCACCACTTCAGACCGCACAGCCGCCGGGTCGCGCACCGGGCCTCGGGGGCCGCGCCGCCACCCGACCCTCGAGTGGCACTGCCAGGGAGCCCACTCTCCCCGCCTCCCGCGTCCCGCCCTGAGAAGCCCTACGTCCCACCCACCCCCACGCCGCAACTCCGACACTCTGGGGACCCCAAAGTTGACTAGGCCCACCGGGAGACTGCTTCCCGCCCCCGCGCCTCGGGCCTCCCCGGGCCGCGCGTCCTCGCTCCCTCCCCCAGCCACGAGCAGGAGCCGGGGTGCGGGCTGACTCACCGGCGGCGGCCGCACCTTGCAGATCCCAGTCTGCTCGGCTATGGGCCGGATCTTGTGGATGAATGCAAAGGGGTCCGCGAACTCTTCCCAGCTGGGCTCGAAGACCGGACACTCGGGAGGAGGCAGGAACTCGCCCAGCGGGCCCGGGCCCCCGAGGGGCAGTGCCGGGCGCGGGCCTGAGGGCGACGCGGTGGCCGGCTCCATCACCGCGACGAGGGCAGGGGCGGGCACCCAGCAGGCTCCCGCACCTCGGCACTGAGTTCGCTGTCCGAAACCTCTTCAGACGCGCAGCTCCGGCTACAAGTCCGACTTCTACAGGCAACCGCAGCACCTAGAGCTTTTTCAGCCTTCCTCTGACGACGTCTGGCCGCTACCCACGCCGTGCGCCTCCGCCGCCACGGCGAGGAAAAAAGTCCCCACCGCCACCAAGGAGCCCAGCTCCGCGCCCCGCCCCCTATCGGGGAGGGGCCGGGGCCTTTGCTTGGGATGGATTTTATCCTTAATGATTAGGCTCAGCCAACATTTATTGACCACTAAAGTTTCAGAGTTCTTGCTCTCAATAAGTTAACACTCTGGTAGAAAGGATCAGATCTATAAGCAATCATTCGATCTGTCATACACTTTGCCAAAATAGAAGGATACATTTAGTAAAATCCAAGAGAGGACTGGGACTGAAGGAGGATTTTCCAGGTAGAGAGAACTGCTTGAACATAACAGCATGGACAGTAGAAAGCAATAGTAATGGGAGTAGTGACAACCAGCACTTTGAGCACTTGCATATCCTACATACTGTTCTGAGTGCTTTGCTGGATTGTTTGGTCTGTGAAGTAGATACTCTCAATGTTACAAATAAGGAAGCTTAGGCATCTTCCCAAATCCAATGGTGCAGACTATTTGTTGAAAACTGAGGTTGTTGCAGGGAAGAATTCTTAAGCCATATGCCAAGGCTGAACTTGAGCAAAAGTCTTGAAATAATCTAGCCAAGAAATGGTGGGGACTAAGTAAAGTCAGTGGTGCTATTCATTGGGAAGAAAGAATGCAATGTAGGAGATAAAATTAGGACAGAGGTACAGACTAGGAAGGAACCACAGGACACAATACTAAGGGTCTGGCATACCTGCCTGAGTAGATGCTGGCCAATTGGCATTGCTGGGACATTTACCCAGATTATGCTGTACACAAAAAGTCATTCTAGAGAAGAGGAGTCACTTCTGGACATGCGTTTAAGATTCTGGTACATTGAACAGATTTTCAACAGGCTGAAAGGCACACATCAGAAGAAGAGATCAGAACTGGGCCTATCCCAATTTTGCAGGGCAGGCAGTGGAAGGGCAGAGAGATTACATAAGTTTGAGATATGAAGATGGGGTTATTTAGTCCAGAAAAATCAAGAAAGGAAGTTCATAAGTAGAACTTCCACACTCAAATCACTTCTTTAATCCAGCAGCCAAATTCATGGAAGGACTGTTTGCCAGAGCCTCCCCTCCATAAGGAGGATCAGTGGGTTCCTAGCCCTGCCTTCAGAACAGCCTGGAGGAAGTCTCTCTTACCCTCAGGATTCATATATATATATATGGTTTCATGTAGCCCAGGCTGTCCTCAAACTCACTATGTAGCTAAGGATGACCTTGAACTCCTGATCTTCCTGTGTCTATTTCCACGTGCTGGGATTACAGATGTGTTCCACCACACCCTGGCTAGGATTCCTCAATTTTAAAAAAGGAAGAAGCCAGGTGTGGTGAAGCCCACCTTTAATTCCATTACCCTGGAGGCAGAGGCAGGCAGATCACTGAGTTTGTAGTGGGTGCTGGGTCAGCCAGAGTTACGTAGTAAGACCGACTCCAAAAAGGGGAAAACCTCTTTTTCAATCACCTTGGCCTCTAAAAGTGACCACAATGGTCTTTGGAGAAGGTAAAACCTTTTCTTAACTCCCTAGAGCTTTGGGATCTGGATAAGCCTTTTCCTGTTCCTTGCTGCAAAAGAGATGTAAGCAAAAGGGGCACCCAGCAGCCTACTAGAGAAAAAAAAAAATCACCAGTGTAAGATAAGGCTATACAGCATATTATAATGCGGGGGTAGACTCTAGGAATCAGGTATAGAATTTACCGGGTTTTTTTGTTTTTTTTTTGTTTGTTTGTTTTTTTTAAGACAGAGTCTCCTTGTAGCTCTAGCTGGTCTGAACTCGCTGTGTAGACCAGGCTGGCCTCAATCTCACAGAGATCTGCCAGCCTCTACCTTCTGATGTCTAGGATTAAAGGCATACACCACCATGCCCAGCTGTAATATCTTTTAACCTCTTGAATATTTGAATTTTTTCATAATGGATTGAGGAAAAAGAAAAAAAAATGAGCCGGGATCTCACACTTGTACCTGAGGCTGACCTGGAATTCACTATGTAGCCCAGACTGGCCTCGCTCCCAAGTGTTAGGATTTCAGGCACAATTCTTGCCGGTGGCTGAGAAATTTTTTATTGTTGCTCTGGCCCTGGTTGTTGGCCCTGGGTGTTGTGTGCATTTGAGGGTCTTGGGGGAGTTGATTTCCTGTCACGTGCTCTGCCTTGGTAGGGTAGTATTTCCATCTTTGACGTTGGCATCTTTAAGACATCTAAACCTACATTAATTATGGCTCTGTAACTGAACAAGCCTAAGAAAAGCTCGGTTCTCTGCTATGTGAAAGGAATCTCCCAACTCTCAAGGTACTGCTTCCTCCATTTCCGGTAGTAACCCTAAGTGATGAGACACTATTGCTGTCTGATCTGGCAGCAGCTGTTTGGCTCCTCACCGACCCTAGGAGACGTGGAGGGAGGGTGTTGTTCCAAGCTACCGAGGGGAACCTAGGGACAGAGAGGGATCTCAAGGGCTCCCCCACCCCCACAGAAGACGCTTCCCCTTGCCCTTTATGAAGTGTGTTTACATGGGCGGAGGGATCCCTCTCCAGCTGACAGCCACACCGCAGCCGGCTCTTCTTTTTTTAAAGAGCCTAGCCACAGGCGGTGATTGGCCGGGGCTGCAGCCGCATCAGCCTCCCGGGGCGGGGCCCGGGCCGCATTGTCTAGTCTGGGACCGGCTGGACGCCCCAGAGGTCGGACCTGCGCAACCCTGGCTCCGAGGTGTTCGGTCTATTGCTCCCTGACGGCTGGGAGCGAGGGCTGGGCGGAGCCAGGCCCGGGTTCTCCGGGGAAAAGCGGGGCTGCAGCACCCGAGGCTCGAGCGGAATCGAGCCCAGCTCCGAGTGCCACGTCTTCAGGAACCCCTCCTTACTCTTGGACTACACTCCGCCCCCGCCCCGGCCTCCGTCCCCCAAACCACCCCATGAGTACTGGAGAGCCTTGAGACACAGCTCGGGGGACCGCTGTCCTCCAGCCCACTCAGCCGCCAGACCTATGCATGCTCCCCAGCCGGCTGAGTCCCATCCCGGCTGCGCCCCAAGATCGCAGCCTTCGCCCTAAGTCAGCCTGCCGGATACTCAGGCGCTCGCCACGCTCCTTCTAGTGGTGGGGAAGGGAAGACCACACTCCTGGGTACCGAACGAGGAGCGACTTTACCCTCTCGTCCCCTACCCGCACCCCGTCCCCGTCCCCGGCGCTGCACCGCGTCTCAGCTTCGGGAAGATGGGGGCAGGCCTGGCTCCCCCGCGGCCCGGGAGGGGGCGGCGGCCGGCGCAGCACGTAGCGCACGTGTCGGTCCATCTCTCCACCCCCTCGCGCCGCCGCCTCGGACTGGACTCCCGATGTCGCCGGCTTGTGCGCCTCCTTTGCGCCCAGACCTCGGGTGTGCACCCCTTAGCAGTGCGTCGGGTCTAAACCACTCTTCTTTTCCCAGCATTGCGGATCCTCCTTTCACGTCCCCTAGTCTCCAGAACACACAGGCTGGTCCAGCTCAGCTTCTCATCTCCAATTCAGTGTCGTCGTATGAACTCACCACCTCTGGTGCTCTGTAATATTTGATGTCAAAAACCCCTGGGAAACCATGGGATGTCTCCTTGTTTTAGTTGTTTTGTATCTTCCCACAACGTCTTGTTGCTATTCTTTATAGCTGGTTTACAGTTGGCCAATCTGTTTCCCACCTTTGTCCCTGCCCCCTCCCAGACACGTGCCCCACTCCAGGGTAAGCCACTAGAGACAAAGAGTAAAGTCAGCACTACGCACGTGGGAGCTGCTCCACAAATATTTGTTGAAAGGGAGGGGAAATGGCCTTGAGTATCTGTAACTCCAATTGGCTGAGGATGGAGCTCTGGGTTAGACGTGGAGAAGAATCTGCTTGTCCCAAGAAGGAGTCTCACAATATCTCGGAGGTAGGATGTTGGGAGAGCCCTCCGAGCGGAGCGGGTGAACATAGTGAGATAAACAGTCCTCCCCATTCCCTGCCCTGCTTAATTCCGTTGGAACCAGCACCCTTCCTCCTCTGCTCTCATCCTCTGCTGACTGGCATCCTCTGTGGGATGTCTGTACTTTGTCCACCGGATCCCCAGCTGTGAGAGCTACAGGTCGAATCGTGATAAGGGTCTCATTTATGAGCTATGTCCTTGGAAAGCTGGCTCTGGGTCTTGGGGAGGCATCTGATAACAAAGTTAACACTTCCTCCTCCCTACCTCCTTTCCAAATCTTGATTGTTCACACACACACACACACACACACACACACACACACACAAGGGAGGGAGGGAGGGAGGGAGAGAGAGAGAGAGATAGGGAGAGAGAATGAACAGGGATTAAAACCCAGTCGGGGCCTATAGCCAGGCAAGCACTACACCAGAGCCACAGTCCCTGTCCTTCTTCACTCCTAGAATCTCTGCTGACTCGGCCCAACTAAGATCCAGAGTAACTTACACCTTCAGTTTAACTGGGTGTGGGCCTAAAGAGGTAGACCCTTGTGTGGGTCAGACACTGGCAAGTGGAATGTTCCCACGGTGCTATTGGCTCTAACCACAGGGGCTGGGAGGGACAGAGTAACCCACACCAGGGCTTGGGCTTCAGGGCGTTTCTTCCCATTCCAGTTAGGCCACTTTAGAGCCCTGGGATTCCCAAGGAACAATTTATTTATTTATTTATTTGTTTGTTTGTTTGTTATTTAGTTTTTTGAGACAGGGTCTTGCCATGTACTCCACACTGACTTCAAACCCACAGCAATCCTCCTGTCTCAACCCTCCTTAATTCTGGGCCAAGGAGCAATCTTGTGTTTGTAGAGGCTAAGAGGGAAAGTCATGTTCCCTGTTCAACCACCAAAGCCCCTAACTCAGGTCTGTAGGCTAAGAGGCTCCTCTCAGAGTGTTCTGTGACCTCGGAGCAAATGTTTGGAATTCCCTGTATCTGGGATGTAATATGTCAGAACTTTCCAGAACAACAGTGTACCTACATGTCGGGTTGAAATTCCCCATCGAACCAAATCAC